TCTAGCTGAGAGATACAACGCATGCCAACAATCTGCCTGAGATACAACGCACAACATTCAACGCCTCCAGTGTGGGGTGCCGCCACTGTGTTGCGCATCGCCGCTACGCAGCACCGGTGTGCGCGCTGGTGTTCTACACAAGCACCTCCACCTCCTCCTACACCAGACCACTGAGAGAGGAAGCTGTCACCACGATGCTCCAAGACAAATTTGAAAAAAAAAATCTGATAATTCTACCGTATCGTCCAACCCGATATTTATTTATTATTATCTTGTTATTATTAATAGTAGCATTATTATTATTATTGTCAACCCTATTGTTTACGCTTTTATTTTACGCATTTGTGTTTCTAACCAAATCATTCGAATCTATAAACGTTCTAATTGCTTTAATACTTCTCTCTCTCTCTCTCTCTCTCTCTCTCTCTCTCTCTCCCCAGAGTGCCTCCCCCAGCTTGGCACCTTGACACGGTGCCAGATTCAACCTTAAACCTTCGGTGCCTAAAACGCTCAATACAATAAGCGCCTTCCACAGTATCGACCTAGAGATGTACAAATCTTGAAGACTCTCAGTACACATGTGTACACCTCTAGCAGCCAGTGTGTACTTGTGTACATGTCTTTAGGAACCCGTGTGTGTGTACTCACCTAATTGTAGTTGCAGGGGTCGGGACTCAGCTCCTGGCCCCGCCTCTTCACTGACCGCTACTAGGTCCTCTCTCTCCCTGCTCCATGAGCTTTATCATACCTCGTCTTAAAGCTATGTATGGTTCCTGCCTCCACTACATCACTCGCCAGACTGTTCCACTTCCTGACCACTCAATGACTGAAGAAATACTTCCTAACATCCTTGTGACTCATCTGAGTCTTCAACTTCCAAGAGTGACCCCTTCTTTCTGCGTCACATCTCTGGAACGTCTTGTCTCTGTCCACCTTGTCTATTCCACGCAGTATTTTGTATATCGTTAACATGTCTCTCCGTAAGGCGTAAGCCATGTGTATCGTAAGAGGCGAGTAAAATGCCGGGAGCGAGGGGCTAGTAACCCCTTTCTCCTGTTTACATTACTAAAAATAAGAAAAACTTGTCTTTCTTTTTTATGTCACCCACTAAGCCTGGTCACGGACCGGCCTGCGGGGGCGTTGACCCCCGAAACCTTCTCCAGGTATATTCCAGGCTGTTGCTGCGACCATGGTCCTTCACTTTAAAGTATTTATCATCAAGTTTCCCCTCCTGAGGAACTTACCAAGTTCCTTTCTTGAGGAACTTAACAAGTTCCTTTCTTGAGGAACTTAACAAGTTCCTTTCTTGAGGAACTTAACAAGTTCCTTTCTTGAGGAACTTACCAAGTTCCTTTCTTGAGGAACTTACCAAGTTCCTTTCTTGAGAAACTTACCAAGTTCCTTTCTTGAGGAACTTAACAAGTTCCTCCTCTTGAGGAACTTACCAAGCTCCCCCTCTTGAGGAACTTAACAAGTTCCTTTCTTGAGGAACTTAACAAGTTCCTTTCTTGAGGAACTTAACAAGTTCCTTTCTTGAGGAACTTAACAAGTTCCTTTCTTGAGGAACTTAACAAGTTCCTTTCTTGAGGAACTTAACAAGTTCCTTTCTTGAGGAACTTAACAAGCTCCCCCTCTTGAGGAACTTACCAAGTTCCTTTCTTGAAGAACTTACCAAGTTCCTTGAGGAACTTAACAAGCTCCCCCTCTTGAGGAACTTACCAAGTTCCTTGAGGAACTTAACAAGCTCCCCCTCTTGAGGAACTTACCAAGTTCCTTTCTTGAAGAACTTATCAAGTTCCTTTCTTGAAGAACTTACCAAGTTCCTTTCTTGAAGAACTTATCAAGTTCCTTTCTTGAAGAACTTACCAAGTTCCTTTCTTGAAGAACTTATCAAGTTCCTTTCTTGAAGAACTTACCAAGTTCCTTTCTTGAGGAACTTAGCAAGTTCCTTTCTTGAAGAACTTACCAAGTTCCTTTCTTGAAGAACTTATCAAGTTCCTTTCTTGAAGAACTTATCAAGTTCCTTTCTTGAAGAACTTATCAAGTTCCTTTCTTGAAGAACTTACCAAGTTCCTTTCTTGAAGAACTTATCAAGTTCCTTTCTTGAAGAACTTACCAAGTTCCTTTCTTGAGGAACTTAGTAAGTTCCCTGCCGAACGAGGCTACTACTGGTATGTTCCGTTTTATGTCCAAACGACACTGATGACGGGCCCGGTTGTCGAAGTGGTGAGCGTGAAGCCTGATTTCTGAAGGAATATATCTGCAGGGGTCGTACGTCTGGGAAATGAGAAAGGTCGTACGGCGCCTGGGGTATGAGACACGTTGTAGAGTACCTGGGATTCGAGGAACAGGTCGTAGAGCAAATGGGATAGAGACAGATCGTAGAGCACCTGGGGTATGAGAGGTAGTACAACCCCTGGAGTACGAGATACAGGTCGTACAACCCCTGGAGTACGATACAGGTCGTACAACACCTGGGGTACGAGATACAAGTCTTATAACACCTGAGGAACGAGAGGCGATTGCCTCTCGGAGAATGTGGCTTCAATTCTTCACATCCAGAGCCCTTCACCAACATCAGCGCGCCCTCTGGGAACCTATACTATCCATTCATGAAAATAGACCAACACTGCAGCAGACCTACCGACCCATACTAGGTAGGTCCTACTCAAAACTCAACTTTCTATTGACAACATTTGACGTCTGGGATTCAAATTGTATAATCATCCTTATACAACTATACAATATCAAGAAGCTGATGAATAAAATATACGTGCAATTATTGGGTGTCTTTACTGCCAGAACGTTTTGCCCACTACAGTTCTTCTGTGTACTGGGCTGATGAAGCCACAGATGGGTGAAATGTTTCCATAACGAAGATAATGCCAGGTATCTCATTCACCACCTGTTGTGGTGAAGACGTGTCCAGACAGGTGGAGTAGCTAGCTGGTGGTATATTAGTTAGGTGGTGGTGCATTAGCTAGGGGGTGGTGTATTAGTTAGGTGGTGGTGCATTAGCTAGATGGTGGTGCATCAGTTAGGTGGTGCATTAGCTAGGTGGTGGTGCATTAGCTAGATGGTGGTGCATCAGTTAGGTGGTGCATTAGCTAGGTGGTGGTGTAGCTAAGTGATGGGGTGACAGTAGTGGGGTTGAGGTAGCTGGCACATTGGCACTCTCGACAGTCTCTTTAATCACGATGTTTGGCACCACCGAGTTAAAAATACCCTCTGACAACACCTAGACGCCCCGCGATGAGCTCTATACCCACACCCAGGGTATGAGAGTGGATATTAGAGTGGGTATGAGAGTGGATATTGGTGGGTATGAGTGAATATTAGAGTGGGTATGAGAGTGGATATTAGAGTGGGTATGAGTGGATATTGGTGGGTATGAGAGTGAATATTAGAGTGGGTATGCGAGTGGATATTAAGAGTGGGTATGAGAGTGGATATTGGTGGGTATGAGAGTAGATATTAGAGTGGGTATGAGAGTGGATATTAGAGTGGGTTTGAGAGTGGATATTAGAGTGGATATTAGTGGGTATGAGAGCGAATATTAAAGTGGATATGCGAGTGAATATTAAAGTGGGTATGCGAATGGGTATAAGTGGATATTAGTGGGTATGAGAGTGGATATTAAGAGTGGGATTTCCCTTCTAAATAATATAAAATATTTGAACGAACTGATAAGGGCAGCGAAAATCCTCGAAAAATTTTGAGAATCTACAGTTTTATGCCTTAAAATACACATTACATTATTATTATTATTATTATAATCAAAAAGAAGCGCTAAACCACAAGGGCTATACAGCAATACACAGTACAGCGATGCTAAACTACACAATACCAATATATTAACAGCACACACACGGAACAGGTCAAATATCTATCGATTAGTGCCTTTGCAAACACAGACACCCAAAAACGGCTGAAAGTTGAAAACCCTGACGAGTCATAGGGATCCATACACAGGTTTAGGTAGAGTTACGACAAGGCTCTTAAAGCCAGGAGAAAGCGGACCTAGTAGCGACCAGGGAAGAGGCGGGGCCAGGAGCTGTGAATCGACTCCTGCAACCAGTGAGCACACACACAAATATATAAAGAAATGCCCAAATGCCTATCGACAAGTGCCTTTGACAAACAGCAACACACACACACACACACACACACACACACACACACACACACACACACACACACACACACACACACACACACACACAGTAACTACTACATACACTTGCAACACAATTAACAAGCCAAGCGTCTATCGACAAGTGCCTTTGACAACCAGTACCTACTACTACTACTACTACTACTACTACTACAAACACACACACACAATGATACACTTAACGAAAGGTGACACTTTTATAAGTGATCTGGCATTCACTACATAAGACACAAGCATGGTAGAAGAAAAATACAGTGTACTACATATCGCCCAAGAGATAACAGATCACCTTGACGTAGCCGTCGTGTTTGTCTCGGTACATCTGCTGCAACCAAGTGCTAACCTTAGCACACTTAGGTAATATTATGACACATGCTTGGCCCAGGAGCATCACATTTTCTGGTACATCATGCACTCGAAATTGGCAACAAAATATAAATGAAAATTAATTGTAATAGTAAAAAGACCACCAATGCATTGTTTACACTCAAAAAACCCTTGAGCAAAAATAAATACCGACTTCCGGATGAGATGGAGTATTATGGAAAGGTATGAAGGCAAAGATATGAAGTTATGAACAACCTTTCACTGGGTACAACGTTTCGCTCTGTGTAGAGTGAAACGTTGTCCCAGTAAAAGACTTTACTTCAACGTGCCTATGTCTTAATACCGGCTTCCGGTGTATTCCCCTCAGCACCACAGACGAGTGACGGTAGTCGTGACTAGTCACAGCTATCTACACCAACACAAGCCAAGCTGACACAAGCAAAAACATACAAGTTACCCCTCATAAATTAGAACCCCCACAGTTCCCGTTCTCACCCACCTTTTGCAAACACAGCAGCGCAGATGACGCGAATTCAGTCTGGTCGTGTTTGGTAGTTCCTTTTGAGTCAACACTTGAATCCCACGAGGGACCCTGGGCAAATAAAAGACTAGATCAGCTTCTATTGTAAACCCCTATTCACTACAATCATATTAAACAACATCAATATAGACAACAATAGCTAAAACACTAACAAATCTGTGGTTTAAAGGGGAAATTACACAAGAAAACAAATCCCACTGCCAATTTTGGGGGTGCCGGAGAAGGGTAGGCAAGGATGGATGGTTCCCTGGAGGCAGCAAGCAAGGGTGGCAGGGTGGCAAGGAGGGAGGGAGAAGCAGGTCTTAAGGCTGTTGACACGGGGTCTCTGCACCATAAAAAGATCGACACGGCCCAGAAAGATCAACAGGATCACCACAATCCATCTTCCAGTGGTGTCCCCCGTGTCGTGCTACCCAGGAGAGAAAGGTAGGGAAAAAAACACGGCAGTGAATATCACGTCTCAAACGGAGAGGCAGTTGTGAAAATAAGCTTCTCCTCCCCTGCTACTGGAGCTCCTGCTGCTGCTCCTACTACTGTTACTACTGTAGATGCTACTCAAAGTTACACAACTAATGCTGCTGCTGCTGCTGCTGCTGCTGTGTCTGCTGGAATGGCTGCTTCTGCTAGTTGCTACTACTACTACTACTACTACTACTTCTGAAGATGTTACTTATGATATTAATCCTAATGGTGGTTATAGTGGTGGTGGTAGTGGTGCTGGTGCTGTTGTAACTGCTGTTACTTCTGCTACTGTTGCAATTACCGCTTCTAAAGATGATATTCATGCTAGTGCTGCAGCTAACGTTAGTGACAGTGCTGCTTACTATAGTAACGCCGTTGGTGCTGTTGCTACTGCAGTAACAGATAAACACTGTTGCTACTACTACTACTACTACTATCACTTCTGATAATTTACATTGCTAGTGCTGTTGCTACTGCAAATCCTGCCCTAGTGCTACTGATGGTCTTTATAATAGGTAGATTGATACTGCAGTTGCTGCTAATGTCACACTGGAACATTATCAGTAGAGGTATATTGTTTCATGATCCCCTGAGGTACATTCTGTTTGGTAGGCAACAGAGGCACTCCACCCTTCTTGATGATGGAATTACATCATCCCAACTCTAGAACCATATCAATAATCATTTCTCGTGTCAGAAAGTAACATGGCAGACAACAACTGTAGGAAAAATTAAAGAGAGAGGATAATTCTGATTCGTAAGATGCATGATTCTGTGCTGCTGAGTCATCACATGATGAAGCATGGAGGTTAAAAGGCAGAGTGCCGACAAGATGAGTAATGTTTGGTAAATTGGCACAGATGTAGAGAAAGTGACTTTTTATTGTGGCAACGTTTCGCTCTCCAGGAACTTCGCCAAGTCATTTTATTTTTCTACCATTATTCTCAAAATGAGCAACACGAAGGCACTCATTGCAGTGCAAGCCTTCACTAAAACAACGTTTCGTTCATTATTATTTATCTGAGTTATTTAGAGCAAAAGAGTAGCTAGCAGGCTCGAACCTCCGATAGCTCTTAGTAAGTCTACATAATTACGATATACAATTCCTACAATAACTTAATCAATTTAAGATTTGATATAGCAGGTCGCTCAAGGAGCACGTTATCAAGATATAGCTTTACAGAGGTCTCCTTGAAGAACGGTCATCCTAAGAAAGGTTTGATCACCTCTTATGCGTTACCCAAGAAGGATAGTGTTGACCGAGGTTAATGGTTCTCGAGCACGGAACTGTAGCTCACTTGTCAAGAAGTATAACATCGTTGGACTTTATTTAACTGATATATTATATAGCCTTGTCCGAGCTGTGGGTAGCAGGGTGAGTTACAGAGGCAGATAATGGGTCCAGGGACCAGGCTGTGGGTAGTAGGGTGTTACAGAGGCAGATAATGGGTCCAGGGACCACGTTGTGGGTAGCAGGGTGAGAGTTAGAGGCAGATAATGGATCCAGGGACCAGGCTGTGGGTAGTAGGGTAAGTTACAGAGGCAGATAATGGGTCCAGGGACCAGGCTGTGGGTAGCAGGGTGAGAGTTACAGAGGCAGATAATGGGTCCAGGGACCAGTCTGTGGGTAGCAGGGTGAGAGTTACAGAGGCAGATAATGGGTCCAGGGACCAGGCTGTGGGTAGCAGGGTGAGAGTTACAGAGGCAGATAATGGATCCAATGACCAGGTTTTGGGTAGCATAGTGAGAGTTAGAGGCATATAATGGGTCCAGGGACCAGGCTGTAGGTAGCAGGGTGAATTACAGAGGCAGATAATGGATCCAGGGACCAGGCTGTGGGTAGCAGAGTGAGTTACAGAGGCAGATAATGGATCCAGGGACCAGGCTGTGGGTAGCAGGGTGAGAGTTACAGAGGCAGATAATGGAGCCAGGGACCAGGCTGTGGGTAGCAGGGTGAGAGTTAGAGGCAGATAATGGATCCAGTGACCAGGTTTTGGGTAGCAGAGTGAGAGAGGCATATAATGGGTCCAGGGACCAGGCTGTAGGTAGCAGGGTGAATTACAGAGGCAGATAATGGATCCAGGGACCAGGCTGTGGGTAGCAGAGTGAGTTACAGAGGCAGATAATGGATCCAGGGACCAGGCTGTGGGTAGCAGGGTGAGAGTTACAGAGGCAGATAATGGAGCCAGGGACCAGGCTGTGGGTAGCAGGGTGAGAGTTAGAGGCAGATAATGGAGCCAGGGACCAGGCTGTGGGTAGCAGGGTGAGAGAGGCAGATAATGGGTCCAGGGACCAGGCTGTAGGTAGCAGGGTGAATTACAGATTCAGATAATGGATCCAGGGACCAGGCTGTGGGTAGTAGAGTGAGTTACAGAGGCAGATAATGGATCCAGGGACCAGGCTGTGGGTAGCAGGGTGAGAGTTACAGAGGCAGATAATGGAGCCAGGGACCAGGCTGTGGGTAGCAGGGTGAGAGTTAGAGGCAGATAATGGAGCCAGGGACCAGGCTGTGGGTAGCAGGGTGAGTTTCAGAGGCAGATAATGGGTCCAGGGACCAGGCTGTAGGTAGCAGGGTGAATTACAGATTCAGATAATGGATCCAGGGACCAGGCTGTGGGTAGTAGAGTGAGTTACAGAGGCAGATAATGGATCCAGGGACCAGGCTGTGGGTAGCAGGGTGAGAGTTACAGAGGCAGATAATGGATCCAGGGACCAGGCTGTGGGTAGCAGGGTGAGAGTTACAGAGGCATATAATGGGTCCAGGGACCAGGCTGTGGGTAGCAGAGTGAGAGTTACAGAGGCAGATAATGGATCCAGGGACCAGGCTGTGGGTAGTAGGATGAGAGTTACAGAGGCCAGGGACCAAGCTGTGGGTAGTCAAGATTACAGAGGCACATAATGAATCAGTCCAGGGACTAGTCTGTAGATGGTACTTGAAAGATTACAAAGGAACCTAACAGGTCCGAGGACTGGTCCTCAACATTTAGTTAACAAATCACAGTGGTAATAAGCATATCAGAGATATAAGTCTTGAAACGAGTCAGAATATATCAGAATCAAGATAATTTAGATTTAGTAGAAATGTGAGTGGTGTTGATGCCGCCATTGTCTCAGCTGCTGATCCTCGAGGAAGGGAGGAAGAAGATCCGCCATCAGCGAAGACGCTAAGGAAGAAAAGAAGAATAAGATGAGGAAATGTGTAATGAGTAAGAGAGTTAAAAGGTGATAATGTTAGTAGCTCTTCTAGGGCGTTTCCTAGGGAGAAATATTTCTTAACAATCACACAGGAGGCATCACTTCTGAAGGATATCCAAGACTCACTTCTGAAGGATATCCAAGACTCACTTCTGAAGGATATCCAAGACTCACTTCTGAAGGATATCCAAGACTCGCTTCTGAAGGATATCCAAGACTCACTTCTGAAGGATATCCAAGACTCACTTCTGAAGGATATTCAAGACTCACTTCTGAAGGATATCCAAGACTCACTTCTGAAGGATATCCAAGACTCACTTCTGAAGGATATCCAAGACTCACTTCTGAAGGATATCCAAGACTCACTTCTCAAGGATATCCAAGACTCACTTCTGAAGGATATCCAAGACTCACTTCTGAAGGATATCCAAGACTCACTTCTGAAGGATATCCAAGACTCACTTCTCAAGGATATCCAAAACTCACTTCTGAAGGATATCCAAGACTCACTTCTGAAGGATATCCAAAACTCACTTCTGAAGGATATCCAAGACTCACTTCTGAAGGATATCCAAGACTCACTTCTGAAGGATATCCAAGACTCGCTTCTGAAGGATATCCAAGACTCACTTCTGAAGGATATCCAAGACTCACTTCTCAAGGATATCCGAAACTCACTTCTGAAGGATATCCAAGACTCACCTCTGAAGGATATCCAAGACTCACTTCTGAAGGATATCCAAGATTCACTTCTGAAGGATATCCGAAACTCACTTCTGAAGGATATCCAAGACTCACTTCTGAAGGATATCCAAGACTCACTTCTGAAGGATATCCAAAACTCACTTCTGAAGGATATCCAAGATTCACTTCTGAAGGATATCCAAGACTCACTTCTGAAGGATATCCAAGACTCACTTCTGAAGGATATCCAAGACTCGCTTCTGAAGGATATCCAAGACTCACTTCTGAAGGATATCCAAGAGTCACTTCTGAAGGATATCCAGGACTCACTTCTAAAGGATATCCAAGACTCACTTCTGAAGGATATCCAAAACTCACTTCTGAAGGATATCCAAAACTCACTTCTGAAGGATATCCAAAACTCACTTCTGAAGGATATCCAAAACTCACTTCTGAAGGATATCCAAAACTCACTTCTGAAGGATATCCAAAAACTCACTTGTAAAGGATCACTTCAGAAGGATATCTTACAAGTGACCTGTAAAGGATCACTTCAGAAGGATATCTTACAAGTGACCTGTAAAGGATCACTTCAGAAGGATATCTTACAAGTGACCTGTAAAGGATCACTTCAGAAGGATATCTTACAAGTGACCTGTAAAGGATCACTTCTGTAAGAGGCAGACACTGAGGCCGCCTCGAAAAAAAAA